TACCTTGCAAAAGAAATAAAAAGACAAGGCACATATTTTTGTATTTTGGTTAGAGGTTGGTAACATATAAAACATACAAGTACAAAAATAAAGATACACAATGAGGTGCTTGGTTATCTCTACAAAAGCAAACCCAAGGATGAAAGGGATAGTGGAGAACTAAGTTTGTGATCTTGATGCATTGTGAAGATGCAAATGAGATGGAATCTTAGGGGGGGAAATTAGGGTATGACAGGAGATTATTGGCCTGCATATCTAAGGGACATAATTTGGCACAATGAAAACATGTAGAAGAAAAATGGGTCGCTCTAACTGCACATGGATTAGAACAGAAAGGGATACAACTGATAAAATGATAAGATTATATGGTTTATGCCATCAACCCGGACACAATGGGACAAATTGTCTCAATCTTGGACTAAATTCTACATGAACATGTATTTTTTTTCTTAAAATATTTGTAACCTTGGTTACAACATAAATATCATAAACACGCCTAAAAAAAAGTTCACACACGAGCAACACAAGGCATAGCATACCAACATAAATAAACATAAACAACAACATAAAGAACAGATAAAAAAAGACTTAACACCACAACATGTTTAAGAGATTACAACAAACAAAGCAATGTCACCTGCTACATACATCATATCTCTAACATCATCGTCATCTCTAACGCGCACCCACATACACTGTGTAGCATTGTTGTATCTGCAATTAAAATATACGAAACAAACCTCTTGATACTTCTAATTCTTTCTCCATCCTTAATTGCTCCATCTAACCAACTTTTCAAACTCCTTTCGAGATGCTCGAAACTTAAGATGTTTCAAAAAATCATTTTCATCGGAGGTTTCGTTGCGAAATAACATAGATGCACATATCTTTTAACAATCATGATAGAGCTAGCGATAAAAATGAAAAAAAAAAAATTGAAATAAAGTGTGAAATGAAGTAAATGAAAGGAGACACCTCTATTTATACTAAAAAAATTCACAATACACGCTGATGTGAGGCCAATTAGCACTTCCTTTGTCATTTTGTACACTAGCGCCAATTGAGTTGACAACACTATGTGCAGTCGCCAATTCAATTGGCGCTTCCATTAGAAAAAGAAGTGTTATTGCCAATTGGCATGCCAACACCACTTTATCCCAAAAAAATGTTTGAATGTGGGATATTTTGAGAATTTTTTTTAAGTTGAGTTATTTTAGAAATAAATTTAAAAAAGTGAATTATTTAATTTTAAAAAGCCAAAACAACATAGAAGCAATAAGGAATGGTGCATGCTCCTAAAGTTTGCATGTAAGTGTCACTACCATTGGTATTACAGAGTAGCATGCACCCCAGACATTGGCGCTTAAGGCAAAAAAAAGAAGTGCATTCGTCACATGCAGTGACGCATTTTCTAGGGGACACAACTTTTTCATGTGACGCATTTTCTAGGGGACACAACTTTTTTATTTTATTTGAAAAATAATTAATTTGATATATATTTTTCAAAAATGGGTATTTGAGAAAAAAAATTGAAAATAATGGTTATTTTTAAAAAAATCGATAAACTATCTAACCATGAAATAAACAACAACAAAAATAAAAAAACATAAATGTATGTAAAAACAAAAATAAAAATTATACTAAAAGACAAAAAAAAATAGAGTGATAATAAATTCTATTAAACATTGATATTCAGTATCATTTTATATTTTAATATTATTATATTTTAAATAAATTAAATTTTAAATTTATTTAAAGTAGTGATACTCCAAATGGAATTCATATGGTGGACATTTTAGCTCGTTTGAATGAGTTTAATTTTTAATTTAAAACAAAAAACAAAATTCTTCGACAATTTAACTTTTAAAAATTATTTAAAATTAAAACAATATTACAAATTTAATTTATCTTAGTATTTTCTTTTTTTTTTCTCTTAATTTTCAAAACAAAAAAACAAAAAACCAAAACCTTCCAAATCTATTTTAATTTTTAAAGTTTTTAAAACTCTCAATTAAAAAATATTTTTTTAAAACTAGACTACCAAACATTTAATAATTTTTAAATTTTAAAAACTAAAAAAGTTTTACAAAATCAATTTAGACATGTCCAATTCATTTCAAATATTTCTAGTCGTGGAATATTTGTGCGCTCGAACGAATTATGGTATGACACGCGCATTTTTCTCAAAATATAATAAAAATAATATTAAAAAATTAAATTGTTCAACCAAAAAAGTTATTATTTTTAAAAGAGACAGTAAATTAGTGTTTATAATTCTTTTCATATATAAAAATATATGAATCAATAATATATATATTTTTTATACAAACATTGTTTTTGTTTTGATATTATTTAAAAAATATATTATAATCAATAGTGAACTTTTTCCCATTATTATTTAATATTTTGATCACTAATTTTATGTTCTCGTTATAATTGTTTTATTTTCATGTTTAAAAAAAAAAAAGATAAGTTATAATTTTATTAAAATTTGTTTTCTACTGTTAGTGTGTGCATTTGTTTCCAAAATATAATAAAGTTGTTCCCTTTATAATAATACATATTTGAAAAAATGATCGTTAAATGTATACTATTTAATATTTGGAACAATTAAAGTTATTCTCGTTTATAACAATAATATTTTTTTTCGTATATATAAATAATTTAATCAACAATGTATTTTTCCTGTATGTAAATATTATTTTTGTTTTGACACTACTTTTATATATATATATATATATATATATATATATATATATATATATATATATATATATATATATATATATATATATATATATATATATATATATATATATATATATATATATATATATATATATATATATATATATATATATATATATATATATATATATATATATATATATATATATATATATATATATACAAATATTTAAATTAATAATATATTTTTTTCATAAATAAATATTATTTTTTCAAAGATAAACATTTTTACTTATATTTTATAATTCTTTTTAATTGAAAGTTTATGATTTCTTTAAACTAAAAAAAATTCATTTCATGCGGATCTATAAAAAGTAAAATAACAATGAAAGAAGTATAGTGAACTTTTTCCCATTATTATTTAATATTTTGATCAGTAACTTTATGTTCTCGTTATAATTGTTTTATTTCCATGTTTAAAAAAAAAAGATAAGTTATAATTTTATTAAAATTTGTTTTTTCATGCGGATCTATAAAAAGTAAAATAACAATGAAAGAAGTATATATTTGAAAGAAATAAAATTTTATTGAAAGATCAAAGTCTTATAAAAACCTAAAACTTCATAAGCTGTACAAAATGTTCATTCCAAACATATTTTTAAAAATCATTGATAAAATCACCATTAATTACCTCATTCTCAATGAGAAACATCTCAAAGTACTTTTTATTTTTAAACACAACCCTTCATTTGTGGTGGATTTTCACCACAATATTCTAGAATTCTTTATGGTCTTTTATGTCATTTATCAGTTCAAAGTGTTTTGCTATGGTAAATGTATGAAGGAAATTGAGATTGAGTAAAATAGAAAACCAGAAAGAAAAAAAATTGTATTTTGACAAAAGTATGAGAAAATTTAAGGGTTTGGTGAAATTTTTCTTCAAATAACCCACTTTTTCAAATTAATACTCAAACTAACTCACTTTTCCACGTATTTTCCAAACTAACCCACTTTCAAAAAAATATACAAAAGAAGTGTTTTACTCCTCCAAAAGTCTAAAACCAGAGTAGTAACTGATATTATTATGTCAAAAAGCATATAGTTGAAATACAACTAAATCACATGAATGTTACAAAAAGTGATATTTAAACATAATCTATCGTTTATTTGGTGTCGTGGCAGCACAAGAGCTGAGGGCGTTATTCAAATTAATACTCAAACTAACTCATTTTTCCACGTATTTTCCAAACTAACCCACTTTCAAAAAAATATACAAAAGAAGTGTTTTACTCCTCCAAAAGTCCAAAACCAGAGTAGTAACTGATATTATTATGTCAAAAAGCATATAGTTGAAATACAACTAAATCCCATGAATGTTACAAAAAGTGATATTTAGACATAATCTATCGTTTATTTGGTGTCGTGGCAGCACAAAAGCTGAGGACGTTATTCAAATTAATACTCAAACTAACTCACTTTTCCACGTATTTTCCAAACTAACCCACTTTCAAAAAAATATACAAAAGAAGTGTTTTACTCCTCCAAAAGTCCAAAACCAGAGTAGTAACTGATATTATTATGTCAAAAAGCATATAGTTGAAATACAACTAAATCACATGAATGTTACAAAAAGTGATATTTAGACATAATCTATCGTTTATTTGGTGTCGTGGCAGCACAAGAGCTGAGGGCGTTATGGTGTTTTTCAGAACGATTAACTTTCTTATATTATAGATTCCCGGGCAGTTAAGATCTCACTTTCATATCAGATAAGCAACTGTCTAAACACAAATAGATACCTCAATAACGCATACAAATTACAATGAAATTATTGGTAATTCATTCAACACAGCTGTCTAAACACAAATAGATACCTCAATAAGGCATACAAATGAAATTATTGGTAATTCATTCAACACAAGTTACAGTATAGAAAAACCAGAAACAAAACTCAGCAAGCCAAAATTACAGCCAATAGTAATGCATAAGTATATCATATAATACAAATCAAATCAAGCCTGTAAGCACACACTATAAAAGTAAAAGAAATCTTCCTGTTAGAAAAGGAAACCTAACCCCAAAACAATCGATCCTTGCTTTAGCACAAGATTCTTTTGAATCTTTTATATTCCTTCTGTAAAGGGCAACTGCATTATGAAGCTTCTGTCGAAATGGATCCCGGAAGGAGAAGACCCTTTGTAATTCTGTATGTGAAAGTATAAAATGTGATTAGTAGGCCGAAATGCACCAAATCATTGTTTTACGACCTTGGGCCAAAAGGGAAAAAAATTATTTGTTTGATTTATTGATCTCTATTCATAATTTATCACAGTGCTTGCTGGTGCTTTTGTTTTCAAGATCATCTCTTCATATTCTTCTTCTGGGTTTGACAGAGCAATAATTGCCCCTCCTGCTCCTATAGAAGCTTCGCCCTCATGTATAACGATTGTTCTTATGACTATATTTAGATCGAATGTCTGATTATATGAGAAAAATCCAATACAGCCTGAGTAGATGCCTCGAGAACAACTTTCAAGAGAGTCGAGAAGTTCCATTGATCTCAACTTTGGTGCACCTGTCATCGAACCACCAGGAAATGCAGCTTTGACACAGTCTACAGCACTTACATCTGACCTCTTTTTCCCACGAATTGTACTCACCATTGTGTGAACAGTTGCATATGATTGTACATCCATGAGATGCGGCACGTGAACAGACCCAGGATCACATACACGACCAAGGTCGTTTCTTAGAAGATCAACAATCATCAAGTTTTCAGCCTGATCCTTTTCACTGAAATAGAAATACGAGTCAGTTCATAACAGGTTCACCTAACTGAATCTCATTCAATTGCTTTGCATCCAAATAGGATTTCAACGAGCCTTGATTCTAACTAAATTACTGAGTTAATTAATACACATGGAAATTTGATGTCACGACAAAAAACGTAGTGAGAAAAGCACTTCCATTATGTAAATTGAAGTCATAGAAACACTTGTTAAGATAGTGATAGGTAGGCTCGAAATTTTCCAGAAATAAATGTCACCTGAGCTGTAATTTTAATTTGAGTTGCTTGTCTTCCTCTTCAGTAGCACCACGAGCTACAGTACCCTTAATGGGCTTAGCTTCTAGCATGTCATTCCTATCCAACTGCAAGAACCTCTCTGGAGAAGAACAGCAAATACACAAATCTTCCTTTGGAAAATTAAGCCAAGCAGCATAAGGTGCTGGATTCCTTTCTCTCAAATTAAGGTAAAGTCCAAGAGAATTTAATACCTCAATTGGTTTCCTTATCTGGGTTGTGAGGCACAACTCATAGCTCTCTCCGTCTTTTATGTAGTTCAGACACTTCTTAACATCTCTAATGTACTGCTCTCTAGATTGTTCAGCTGCAAAACCAGCCTTGTGTGAGGAAAAAGTTGAAGGATGAGAATACTGCTTTTCTAAATCCATGCTCTTAGAGCCAGTTAATCTCAGAAGCTTCTCCTCAGTATCATCCAACCATTCTGTCGTACTTGAACTTTCTTCATGTATAGCCAATAAATAAACATCATCGTTTTTGTGATCAATAGCTACAAGATTATCAGCAAAGAAAAAACATGCATCTGGAGTTTTAGATTTGTGACGGTTAGAAGTGGCCCCACATTCAACTTTGAGATCATACCTGCAACACATAAAAATCAATTATTTGTTAGTTCACTAAAGAGGTCTTATAAATAACAAGTTGAAACCCGTGCACTGCACCAGGGCTGTTGTTTTGTTATTTTATTAGCTTCCACAAAATCTGCTCTTGATTTCATTGCAGATGACTCTCCACCGAATGCTCTTTTAATCAACCACATTCACAAGTTTTCTTCCATGGTCTGGTCCTTACATTCCAAGGTACTTAGAGGGAGGGCAATGAATTTGCTGATTGGCTAGCACAGTTTGGTGAAGTTATTGATCAACCTTTGAAGATATGGCAGAAATGTCCTTGTCAGCCTATGCAAAACTTTCTAGCTGATGATTTAGGCAGTGTTAAATTTAGAGTTTAGTTCCCTTTGTTGTTTTCTTGTTGATGAAAAAAATACATACATTCAGCTTGATTCAATATAGGCATGTATTTGCTTGACTTTTATCACCTACCCGATGTAACCAACATATCCGCCGTGAAAATCAAATGGTAGACCTTCGTATTCATTCTTATCATAATGATATGATTGAAGCTCCTGTGACATTATTAAGGCAAAAAAAATTATGAGGGAGACGGTAAGAAAAGTAATTTTTGTTTCATTATGCTTGTGCACAAATATTTATACCGTATTTATATCGTAATTGAGAATATCCAAATACGTCAAGCATAATGTAATGTTAACCCAATGTGATTAAGAAGAATGGGGGTAACAAGAACCGAAAACCTGATACAGTCTAACAATATGGCATGTCCTGGGTGAGAAGTGCAATACGCAAGAATAAAGCATTAAATGGCCAACATAATTTCAGTATATACCTTGTTCAAAAAATCAAGAAAACCTCCTTCCAAGAACATTGTCTTGGCAGAACCTCCAGAATCTTCCAGTGACAAAAAGCCACCACCTTTTAAACACCCATCACTGGAGAAAAAAATGATTATATGTTATAACATTATATACTATTATCAATGCCAAAGGGTAAGAAGGTTAGACTGGTGCAACTAAAATATTTTTTTCCAGGCCAATGCTTTGTAAAAAGAGAATCTAAAATATGAAAAAGAGTATTGAAGAGATATCAGAAATATTTAAAAATTAACAGTCAAGAGAATTCATTTCAAACCTCTGATCAGACAATCTGAACGTTAACTGCTTCCAAAGTGATCCACCTTTTCCTCCCATGAATGAAAAGCGCGCTCTTCCCTATAGGGATGAGATGAATATTTAGATAATGAAAAATATACTATATAATGAAGTGTATTACTAAAAATATGAAAAGATTCTATGTTGATCAAATTATTCTAGTTTAAAGATCCAAATGCAAAAATGTATATTTGTGGATTAAAGACAATCAGGGAACTGATTGGTGATGACTACGGTATTTTCAGCATCATATCTATAGAGTCAAAGATAAACTAACATAAATTCATATAAATACCATATCTGTGGAGGAACTATCTAACCAAAAGGTGTTTTTGGCTTCATGTCCAAACAACTGACAGAATATGTTTTTTGCTCCACCAACTTGGCCAGCCAAGTGATCAAATTTCCTCCACTTTAACTTCAAAAATTTATAGTTCATCTCAGTATTATTATGTACTAAATGTTCGTCTCCATGATTTACTTTTCTTGGCTGATCCACAGTATTAATTTCTGCATTATTACTTCTGCAAAAGTCTCTGTAGAGTCTACTAGCACTTGAAACCTGCGTGTATGCTAAAAAAAGTTTACTGCTCAGGTAAATTACGTGGAACTACCATATTAATCTGAAGACCAATTGAAATTAATAATAAAATTAAGCAGCATGAGCACAAGAATAAGAAGATCTCACTCTAGTTTAGAACGTCATGACATTTTCTAGAAGTAGACACAAACTAAGACTGAACAAGATAAAGACACAATGTAATATTTGTATTAGCCCATTTTCTCATTTAACAAAAGTCTAAAAACAGCAATCAAGTTAACATTAACCCAAAAATTCTTGCAGTATAAATAATTTGATATGCACATAGGAAAGATAGAGTGAATTGTAATAACAGATTTTTTCTGTTTTTTCTGTGTGTGTGGGATGGGGTGGGGGCACAGTTATTCAGTTTACCATTAGAATTAGCATGCTTTTCTTTGTTGTGTGATGACCTAAATCTCAGCCAATAATCCTCTGTAATCTCTCTAAAATTCTTGAATATTTGACTTCCATGACAGGTTGCAACACTCTCTGGATGAAACTGAAAGGTCAAATTTGTTGAGTTGAGCAAGGTTAATAAAAGGATTAATAAAAAGAAACACAAAGCTAAAGCTATAGACAGATCATTTCAGTACTACATACCTGTACACCATAGTGTGGCCTTGTAGAATGCTTGACTCCCATAAGAACCCTTGCATTTCTAGTTTGTCCATAATCAGTAAGGTTTGAACTACCATTTCCTGCTTCAGGTAAAAATGAATCAAAGAAAATGCTTTGATCAGTCTGAACTTCATGACCATTGTACTTGTCAGAAACCTTGGATCCAATAGACGGAAGTGTGCTAGTGGAAGTCCATGCTATTGGAATGAGCACTTCTGGAAGTGATTCAGAATCTATCACCAGTGAATGATATCGAACCACCTGGAATGTGTGACAAGCAGTAATTATGATTGGTGGTGGTGGTAGAAGATAGATTTTAATTAACATTTGACAGGAGAAGAATAAGCTTAGCTGAAAAAATATGAAGAAATATCAAAGCAGATGTTTTCATTAAATTATGGCACTGCTGAATCTGGCATCATACTTATTTTTTTGGATTTTTTCAACTAGTCATTTTTGTTGAAATACATACTATAGTAAAGGGATACAGAAGAGTTTGTTCGGATAAGTTTTAGAATTCCTAGTAATGGTACTCTCTTCTGATTAAAATTGAATTGACCAAACACATGAATCAAACTTTCCTTAGAATTTCAACAAACTTGAGAGTATACCAAGAAAACCAAAATAACTTTGCTGGCACTTCATGAATTCAACACCATGAATCGCAAGTAGAAGAATCCCACCAACTAGAAGAAAGATGTCTTCCTTATCTTCTTCTATCATCATTTAATAGATGAATAAGAAAACAAAAAATGATGTATTAGGAGAGAAGAATAATGCAGGCCAAGAAGACGAGGGATTCTCCTAAAACAAAGGACACAAGGGAAAAAAAGACAAATGAAGATGAAAACATCAGCTGAAAGAGCACTATAATCATTCTGCATATTTGGTAAAGAAAACCCCCTTAAAGATTCCACAAGAATAAAAGCAAAAGATATTTCGCTTTAACCAAATGTGCCCCTTGTTCACAAAATGATCACAACACCACAAAGCACTTAATTGTGCTTAATTTCTAATGTGGCGATTACGACAAGATATCTTCCTTAGTTGGGGGAAGAATCTGAGAAAATCAGATTTTTTTGAGGAACATATCATCATATTTTTTCCACTCCTAAACCAATAAGAAAACAAAATATTTCCATGTCAAAGAGAAACCAGAATTAACCAAGATTCCCAAACAACTTAGTGCATAATTTTTGAGGAACATCAACACTTCAGAAAAATTAAGATCAAAATTTAGAGTTTCCTAGCATCTGATTGCCTTATATGTCTCAAATATGAATATGACAAGCTAAATATTGAATTCCATATTAAGATTCAAACTCAAACTCTCTCAAAATGTTTGACTGAATAAAATTCACATTCTTTCAAATATATATTGGCAACTCACCTTGAAACCAGAATTTCTACCAGAAGGTATGCCATGAAAAAGCTGGCATCCATTGTGCTCAACTTCACTGCACAGAACAAGAAATAGTCAAAACTAAAAATAGAGAGGATAAACAGATACGGTAACTTTTAAATGACATATGTTTTAGATATATTCATTTTCCTGAATGTGGCAATTACATAATGTTTTTTGAAATGTTCAAGCATACCTCAGACGCCCATGAACTGGTTCAGATGCATGGACAACTTGAGCTCCATGCACATAACCCAATGCCTATCAAATCACAGAAAGAAAGAGATTAAGCTAAGAAAAAAATAAAATGTACAGAACGCAAGCAATAGTTACGAAAGACAGAAGTATGACATCTGAGATTATGAATTCAAAAATGAATCACAATAGGATTTTGTTTAATACAATGATTAACACAAGAACCGTGTTGTTCAAAAGGGGTTTGTGAATAAGTTCATAATCACTATGTGGTATTTGCAACAAGATTTTCCTCCTCATCTTATCAAAGCATTGACCAACATCGAAGGGCATTTTCTTGCAAATTTTACAGCAATTCCATATTACTCTTCAGAAATAACTTTAAGCAAATATTATGGAAACCCGAAAATATGTTTTATATAAATGAGTTTTATGTTTTTAACATTCCAAATATGTTTTTATTGGGCTTCAATCAGAATAAACATTTTTCACAAAAATTGGAGAGCTCTCGATAATGAAGAATTAAAAGTACCCATTGTCTTGAAAATAAGAATTTAAACAGTTCAAGTTCAAAACTGTTCATTAAATTTTGACTGCACTACGAGTGATTAATTATTTAATTCCGATGAACTGTTGTTCCCATTAAAAAAATTTGAGCTAATGAAGCTATAAGATAAACAACTTTTCTTCCTCGAAAGAAACAAGACAGAGGATGAACATATTGTGACAAACCCTAATAAGATCCTATCATAATATGAGTGCATATTGGTCTAGGACGCGTTCAAGTAAATAGTTTAATGGAACGTTTATTCCATAAGCTATTCTTGAGAGATTATGGACAAAGGTGAATATAACTTATGAATGTCACACAAGATATTCTTATAAGTACATCAAAAAACTAACATAAGAGTTTATGTCAAGAGATTAGCCCAAATAAGCTCTACCAAACAACCCTAATATAGAAGGTAAAACAAAAATTAGATAGATAAGGTTCCTGTTAATTTAACATGACCTAAATTCAAGAAATATAGTGCACTCTATTGAAACTTGTTCATGCTATACAAGTTGTAAAATTTAAAGGTTTACGTAATCTTCTAGAAAAGTACAAAGTGTGATACCTTGAATGCTTACTCAGCCAGAGAGTGGTTAAATTAGATTAAGAAAAAAGATTATAATTTTGAATGAAGAAGAGGGAAATACCTGATGTCCTAGGCAAACACCCAGAACAGGAATATCCCTGCATTCAAGCAATATTTGAAGACAAATGCCTGAAGCATATAAAATCATTTAAAGAAGAAAGGAGGTCAAAATAAAGAATCTTCCGCATTTCATTAAACAACAACCAAATAACATCAAAATTAATCATAGATATGAAATCCATCAATATATATTCATGTGGTTTGAGAGTGTTTCACAATGGCTGCAGGCGTAGATCACCAATAAATGTGACTTTATATCCACTCAAAAGAACATTTACAGACAGTTGAATTAATAAATTTTAATGAAACTATCAGACCACAAGGACATTTCATGATTCTCACCTATATCTTCTGGGCATGCTGGAGAACCAGGCCCGGGTGATATTACGATGTTATCAAATGCATTTTCTTCGTACAGGTAATGGCAAAGTTCTTCCCACGTCCAATCATCATTTTGAATCACCACAGGAGGGACTAGCAAAATGAAAACCAAAACCAGTTGTTAAAAACGACATGAAATTATTACATCAACTTGTTAAACTATCCAAGAATAAAGTATTCTGTACAGGATTTTAGAATGCTAAATTCAATGTTTATTGTTCTTGCATAATAGCCCCATCTTGATTCTTACTTATAATCTAGCTAATTTTAAAAAATAGGAGAGATAATTATACACCGCAAACAATAGACAGAAAAAAAAAACATAGTAAGTCAAACTTACCGCCATTAATAATAGATAGCTCCTGGTATATATTGTAAGTATAACTATCATAGTTATCAATCAACAAAGTCCTCACAAAATCCGGCTTCTGTAAAGAAACTTGTAACATTTTCTTTCTTTTATATGATTCCTCTAAATGGCCATGCATCAATTGACAACACACCCTCATGTTTCTTCCATCACGATTACATACATCTTTATTAACGAAAGAAGAAACCCTTACCGAGGGTTTGGACAAAAGAAAATTCCTATTTTTATACTGCTTGGTTTCACTTGTAGGACACATGAACTCAGAAGACAACAAACGCATTGACATGTTCATTTTGTTGCTGGAAAAATATCCAAAAGCTGCAGACAAATAAACATACACTTATTAGCCTAAACTCTATACCATCAATGCTATTCGAAAATTGATTGCAAAGCATAAATTCTCACAAAGAGTGTCAAAAGTGCTTATGCCACTAAATAAGCTGAAATAATTCAATAAAAACAGGTTGTAAACATGAATCAATTTAACAAAATAAGCCATAACTAAATTACAGACAATAGAACAATCCATTTGATTATGCCATCGTGAATAGAGAGCGAACGAAATTCAAACGTGGAAATACAAATTTACGATAAAAACAGAGACGTGGATTCAAAAAACTTACATGCTATATTTTGTGTGTGTCCGTGTGAAAGAAGAAGTGCAGATTCAAGAGGTTATGGTGAGATGGGAAGAAAGATCCATGAGAAATGAAATCACGTGGAGGGAGAGATTTGAAAAGGAAGGAAGAGTTGAGAAGGTGTTGTAGATGAGAGAGACGCGTGGGGATGAAGGAATGGGAGGAATGGGCGGAAAGGGAAAAGGGAGGATGGTGATAGGTGGTCAGGCGGTGTAGCTTTGAAGCAAGTGGTGGGGAAGTGGCGGCTATCTAAGAAATTGGATCGCCGGGATAAGAAATTGGCAACGTAGTAGTATTAAAATACGTTTTTAATCGAACAAAGATTTTGTTTTTTTTATTTTATTATTATTATTATTCGATTGCAATTATTTATTTCATTTTAATCAATCCGAATTAATTTAGTTTCTAACTCCAAATTTACGTTTAAGTTCACCTCAAACCTCGCTTTTCACATATGAATAATCACATGTTTGAATTCTTTAAAAACCCCGTCTTCTACGTCGTGGATGATGTTATATCCATTACTTTTAATGGTTTGGATACATCGCTTTAACAGTGGCGTAACTATATTTTTTCAATTTTTAGGCGTATTTTAAACATCGACGCTAGTGAAAGCGATGTATGAGAGATTCGTCAAGAACAACATGATCCATAACACTGATTGTTTCTATTTTTTCAGTTTTTAATCAATCAAAGCAAGTGAAGATGTCTAGTGCTTGCAACTATGTTTGCAGTTTGTTGTGCAACACTTTCATAATTAGTAATAGTTCACCCAACCGTATACATTGAAAGTTTAGCTTGTGAATTGCAATGTTAAAAACACAGTTCGATTCATGAATAATATAATTAGTTTTGTTATTTTAAAAGTGGTTTGGTTTAGTTCGTGGATTCGATTTGGTCCAGTGAAGCAGACGCCAAGGTTCACAAAACTCTAATTTTTCGACTTTGTCACTAGTTAGCACGTTCTGTTTTCCCAATTCGACTAGACATTTTTCGCTGGCATGGCTCAATCTCATGTGTCATAATTATGTCTTCGACACCGGTTTCGTGGATGCAAAATTTGCTGAACCACTTACAACCTCAGCCTCAAGGGTATACAAGTTTTGTTTTTTCACGTCTCTTAAGACTTTGTTCGACCCCTTCGTGACTTTCAGGATACCTTGCTCTCTTTTGAAGACATATCCTTTCTTGTCGAATTCACCAAGGAAAATTAAATTCCTCTTAAGGTCAGGTACATACTTAAGCCCAATCAATAGTCTTATTAACTCATCATGGATCTTGAATGTTACATATCCAATAGCTGCAATCTTGCAAGCTTTATTGTTTTCCAGCAACACTGATCACCATCTTGATCATATAATTCTTCAAACACATCTTTGTTTGGAGTCATATGTCAAGTACAACCAGAATCCATAATCCACTCTTTGCAAGAGTTGTTGCTCGACACCAGAAGGACATCAGATGATTCATAATCATATTGCACAATAGTTGCATTGTCATTGTCCCTACCTCCATGATTATTCAGGCGCTTAAGACACATCTTTCTTGTGTGATCCTTCTTCTTACAGTGATAACACTTAATCCCAGAAATATCACCAACATAAGACTTCTGTTGAGTTTTACTTTTCTTCTTCTCAAACCTACCATCTCTCTTCGAGGATTTCCCCTTCACGGACAACCCTTCGTCAACTGATGATGATGGTTTTTGCTCCTTTCTTTCGTTCAAATCCTTCGAATACAAGGCTACTTGAACTTCTTCAAAGGTCAGGGACTCTCTTCCATACAAGAGGGTTTCTTTGAAGTGAGCATGTGACTTAGGTAAAGAACACAACAATAACAACGCTTGATCTTTGTCATTGATGGCAACATCAATATTTTCAAGATCAAGAATCAACTTGTTGAACACATCCAGCTGCACTGTCAAGGTTTTGTCTTCATTCATCTTGAATGAATGCAAAGCTTGCTTCAAGTACAAACGATTCACCAAGAATTTTGTCATATACAATCCTTCGAGTTTCAGTCAAACACCAAATGTCGTCGTCTCCTTCGAAACCTGCCTGAGAAGCTTATCACCAAGACTCAGAACAATTACATTATGACCTTTTTCGATCATCATTGTCTTTTCCTTCTCCGTCGATGCAGCATCCATGGTATCTCCTCCCTTTAACGCTTATAGCAAACCCTGTAGAACAAGAAGGGCTTGCATCTTCAAATGCCATAAACCGAAGTCATTAACTCCGGTGAACTTCTCAATTTTAAACTTTATTGACGGCATCTTCTTCACGCTCACCGCACTAGTTTGTTGTGATCACAAACGATATCTTTCAACAAATAAAGATTGAGAAACTGAGTTCTTGGGTGAACAATGAAACAATTAGAACAAATAGAGAAAGAATAAAGGATAAAGAAGAAAGAATAAGAAGGATTAGGGCAAATTTTGTACTATTCACTTTCTGATCATTTAGGGTTTACAAATGATTACAAATGAATAACAATTGGTCTCACTTAACAGCCTGGGTGATCTAGCCTATTTATAGACTAACTAGCTAACTTACAATACAAGTTAACTAAATAATTGAATCCTTAACACAATATTCAATTTGACATAATAAATCAACAATATTTTTCAACATTACATACTAGAACTAGCTTCGACTACAGTGTGTAACCTTTCGACATCAGCATATGATCCAGCTTCGACTTCATGTTTGTATTCTGTCGAAACACATGAAAGCTATTCCTCGACAGAGTTAGAGTTCAACCCAAAAATCTCACAACTAACTTCCAATTAAGATAAAAATAGCCTTCAACTTTATTGGCCACATCAAATGGGACACTTGCAAAAAAGACGACCTTATTTTTTTCATCTAAATTGACTTTTTAAGTGGTTTGTTTTTAACGTACATGTTTTATATGTTATACTAGCACATAATATTTTATTAAAACATAAATAGTTATTGATGTAAGTTATATGTACGAAACTTGAAATTCCCGGCATTGCTTCAGAACTTTGCAAGAAAAATTTTAAAATTAAAATTTATTTATATTTTATTTTCATAAGCATCTCATTTTGAACATAAAGCAAGACAATTACATTTACACAATACTTACGACTCAATGATTTCACCTCTTAAATCTCCATTCTACAAAGAAAATCATTATCATGCATCTTTGTTGTGTGTGTAAGTAACTCTCGTATTTGTTTAGACTGTGCATTTTCCTTGCCATGTGTATATGTTTCTTATCGTTATCCTTAATAGTTTGTTATATGACTAACACATCTAATGTGTATTGTTTCTTAAACATTAGTGGTTTCTTGTGTTAAAATTAACTTTCTCAAACAATTATCTCAAAGTCTGACATGAATTATTGTCAAATTTAGAAGGTTCACTAAGAAGATTCTAAAAAGGAATATGTTTGAGGCTTCATTAAGGCATTGAAAATCAATCATAGGTTGTCATGATTTTCCCTATACTTATAAGCTTTCATAATGACATTGAAATCACCGATGAAACATAAAGGCATGTCATATGATTATGAGATATCTCAGTTAGCTTATGACTACAAATTTCTTCTCGCAATGTTTTTTTTTTCCTTCTAAATTAATGATATCTTAGTAATTCTTCATATTCATTTATTTTATTTTTAATTAACATGCTTTTATCTTAAGTAAATAATAATTAATTAACTTAATCTCTCATGCATGTATATTTCTTAAAATTATTTTTTCAACGTATTGGTCCTTTAAGTTTTTTTTTAATTTGGTCTTTTAGAGTGATTTTTACATTTTTTTTTACATATTTTAAAATTTAAAAATGTGTGACAGTTGCATTACATCATTTTCATACAAATCAAAATGATTGTATCTATAATTATCACCTTCACTCTCTTAAAAAAGTATAACGGTGCACACGTTTAATAATTTAAAGAACTAAGTTGTTAAAAAAATTTTAAGAATCATTAAAAAAACAACTTAAAGGACATATGATATAATCTTACCTAATTTTTATTAGTTAACATACTTTTGTATTAAAGTATAAAAATAGCTAATCCACATTTAAAAAAAAATTTCACACACTTTTTTTCGTTTTCATATTTAATTAATATATTTTTATGAGTCATGCTAGCCAGGGGCACTCGTTAAGAATTTCAAATAAAGAAAATATGTTATGTTCAGTTCATTTAATACACACAATATTTTTTAAATAAGTTGATTATTTCCTCTTCCAGTGCATTGAATACACATATATTTAGAAAAAATATGTCTTTTTAATCTCTTAAATAATGCACAACTTACTATTTTAATCTCTTAACTAAGATCTCGGGACACTCGTTAGCATTTTCCTATTATTATATTAAACTAAAAAAATGTCTTACTTTTTAAATTTTTCATAATTATTTTATCTAGTAACTTTTTATTTCTTATAAAATAGATATATTTTAGTAACTTTATGTATTTTTTTTTAACTGAAAAAAATTTCACACTTTTTTTTTGTTTCATATTTATTAAGTAACTTTATTTTTATTTTTTATAATAGAGATATTTTAGTAACTTTCTGTATTTTTTATTTTTAAGTTTAAAAATTTAACCGACTTTAAAAAAAAAATTCTCAATAGAACTCACCTTTGGATTGATTTAAAAAAATTCTAGTGA